CGGACAGCAGCGAAGACGACGAGGCGGCCGAGGCCAGCAGCGGAGGGGCGGGCGGTGACAGGCGCGCGCCCGCCTCGCCGAAATCAATGTTGATGTACTCGCCGGGGCTCTTGGGCTCGGGCGGCAGGGGGTACTCGTGCATGCTGGGCAGGGTCTGCAGCCCCTCCAGGGACAGGCGCGTGGGTCGAACGGCCCGGCAGCGCTGGCCCAGGAAGCTCTCTGGGCGGCCACTGCCGCTGCCACCCGGCCTCCCGGGCGAAGGCACTGCTGGGTGGGGCGGCTGGGTGTGGCCGCCGCCACCTGCCCCAGCTGCGAAGGCGCTGGCCGACTGTGTGGACCCCGGGCTGGCTGGCGGCTCCAGCCTCTCTTCCTCCAGGATGCGCCCCACGGGAGAGCTCATGAGCACGTACTGGTCGTTGTCCCCTGTGCAGGTGTATGGAGCCTTGTAGGAGCGAGGCAAGGAGCTGTAGCAGTAGCCGGGGACGCCCCGCAGCATCTCCCCGCTGCCATGCAGGGCAGCAGAGAAGTCCGGCGGGGTTCCCGCGGTGCCTGCGTCGCTGGGGGACATGTTGAGGTAGTCCCCGTTGGGAAGCAGCTTGCTGTCGGCGTTCTCCATGGACAACTTGGAGCCACACCACATGCGCATGTACCCACTGTCCTCGGGAGAGCTCTCGGCCGGGGAGCTGGCCTTGTAGTTGCCCCCGTTCCCTGGAAAGGCCCTGCTGACCGCCGAGGTGGGCGTGGGCACTCCAGCTCCAGAGGGGGGCAAGGCCGTCGCGGCAGCGCGTGGCTGCAGAATCTGCTTCGGGGCAGACACGCTAGTGGGGCTCATGGGCATGTAGTCGTCACTCTTGCAGCTTCCGCTGCCACCGCCCATGAGGGCCACGCCAGGGGTCATGGGCATGTAGCCGTCGTCCGTGCCCAGGTTGCTGCTGGAGCTCCTGTGGGACCCAATCTCGATGTCACCGTAGTCTTCGGGGTAGGGGTGGTAGGCCACTTTGGGAGAGGACGCGGGGCAGGAAGGGCAGAGGCGGCCCGAGCTGCCGGAGAAAGTGGCCCGCATCAGGGTGTATTCATCCAGGGAGGCGGAGGAGGGCTGGGGCACTGGCCGCTGCCGGGCAGGTGTGGTCAGGGAGTAAGTCCTCTTCCTCAGCCCTCTGTCCAAGTCCTGGGCCCCGTCCCCTGAGATTCTGCGGTAGGGACGGCCACAGTGGCTTAGGGGCCGGTCCATGGTCATGTATCCATACAGCTCGCCCCCGCTGCCGTCCCTGGCCGGGGGGGTCTCGGCGATGGATTCGGGCGTGTTGCTCCTATGGCTGCAGAAGGCTCTCAGGTCCCCGGGGCTAGAGCCATATTCATCCAAGGACATAAAGCCAGGGTCGCTGGGGGAGCCCGAGGCCGAGGCGCTGCCGCTGGAAGGTCGCTGGGGGTGCAGGGGGTGCTGCAGGTGCGGGTGCGGGCCTGGAGGCGGCGTGTCTTTCCCGAGCCGTGCCCGCTACTGGACGACAGGCTGCCTGGGCTGGTCGCGGCTGGAGGCGAG